TAAATACCATTATTAAATAAATAAATATCAATATGCCGATGCTTGATGTGAAATCTCTGCGTGCATACCTTCAATTTGAGGCTTCAATCATGAAAATCGGTCGGGTGGAAGAGCCAAACGAACTCGGAAAAGAAAAACCAAAACTCCCATAGGCACATGGGAGTAAATTTAGTTTACGTATAAACTGAGTGATACAATTCGCTAAAACATCCTGTAGGCCAAACATATCTTGAAAAATCCTATTTTTGATTATCTACCAACTATGGCAGGCAAGATAAGTTTTAAAATGTGATACTTTTTTAATATTAATCACTACCCTACTAACAGTGAAATACCACCGCCGAAGCAAACCTGCAGAATTTGATGGTTCGTTATTTTATTTCCAAAGTAGCGAGGCCATATTTTAATAGCCAAACTCACTATAACCAATCCAGTGAATGCAGGAAAAAGATTTGAATCATAATCGGTAATATAGTTTTCTCGGAGTAGGCAGCGTAAATTTACATTTTGTCGGTACAGACAGAATGACAGAAAGACAGACTGACAGAAATTGAGATGAGACTCGTTAGAGCCTTCATAGCCTAGAAACGTAAAAAAAACCAAAAACTGCATCATTCTACGCAATGGACAGACAAAACTGTAATTTTATTTCTATAGAAGAAGACTACATTTGCACAGTTTCAAGCACTCGACAGAGTTGCTCGACAAGCTGGTATGAATCTGACACCATTGAATCACTGCAAGGGATGCGCGCAGAGGTAGAGGAACATACAGATGACTTCTGAGAATTTCAACTTTCTCGTTTTGCAATGTGCCGTTATAGCCTTACTTGGAAGAGGGGGATTTTTGGACCACGAATGAGTTTGTTATGTTTAGTTTTAAATAAATCCGACCTGAATATAAAATAGCAAATGCAAGTCCGCAGTAACAAAAACATTTATTTTTACGCAATTAACTTATAGTGCAGCCTAGCCCTAATTTGTCAGTGTCAATGAAATAGTGCAATATCAAGGACAACCAAACTTGGATATACAACCATGTTTATTCCTAAGGTTCCTTTTTGGTACTCACCAACAAGGATCAACCGTAATTGTTTTCAGTCAGAAAGTGTCCTGAGTTTCCAGAAAATTGTAACTTATTACATTTTAAAAATTAAGGGTAAATTAAACGTTTCGGTTCTGGTTTTGGAGCGAATCCAAGTTCTTGCAGTGACTAATACTTCAAAGGAAGGAAGGTGGGAAGATTTTCATACTGCTAATAGCCTTCTTTGAATTCAGCGTGAAAAATACTGGGCAATTTCTATAGTTTGGGCCATTTAGGGGAACCAAACAAATTTTTAAAAACTCTTCTATCTCATCATTTCAGTAAACTATGATATTATTATTTGAATAGAATTTAAATGTCAAGAAAAAAAATACCGTAAATTATTATTTTTGGGATAAAATTACATTGACCAAGGAATACTCTCAAAGTGTAGTGTAGTGATAAAGTTTCCCGAACAAAGCTCGGTCCCCAGCTACTTGTTGTCAAACAACGCAATAATGTACGTTATTTCATAAAATTTTTACCTGAGAAATTTACAAATGGAAAATGCATTTCTCGTAAGTGTAAGCAAATCTTTAAATGATAGGATTTGTAATGATACGATCTTAAAACGAGAAATTCAGTATTCTTATTCAAAACACCAAACACCCGCCACTGGATCAAAATATGCCCGCACGGCGCAACCCGGCACGGTAGGAAGCCCCTCTCGTACAATTTAAATTACTCACATAAGCCAAAAATTAAAAAATATGATTTAGAACATTTTACTTTTTGTATACAGAATCCACTGTTTTTAAACTTACCTGACCAAAAAATAAAATAAAGTAGTGGCCGACAAAAAAAGTTCCGTGGAAATTTGCCATGTCACGTTTCATAAAACATTTAAAATAATCGACTTTATTTGAATATTTAAAATGAAAAGTACCGGGAGACCGAGCCGTGGCTCAGTATGTTTATTTCGATTGTAAAAGATGTATAAAGGAAACTCGTGTTTTCTTTATAACTAATTTCGGCTTTTATTGTTTAAGTTTCGGTGGAATTTTAATTTACTATGATGTAACTTTAAATGGACAATGCAACACATTAATTTATTTTAATCTTACACATTTCTTTTATTGTAAATAAATCATAGAAATTTAAAAAAATAAATCATAGAAATTTAAAAAAATAAAAGTAGTATTTTTTTAAATACGTCCCTAATGAAGGAATTAATATGCGATCACAGGTTAATACAGTAGCAATCAACTACACAGCATTAAAACAGCACAGTGTATGTAAGGGGTGTGATTTATTTCTTGGTACTAAATTAAGTCATTCTTCAAGTATAAGTAAAACTTCAGCATGGGCATACTCTCTAACGTACTATCATATGATGGATTAGCTGAAGGCAGATAAGTCCGATTCAAGCTTATATTGCTTACTATAAAGATTGTTGTAATACAATTAACTTTAACTAGTGGTCGTCCAGTGGTCTAAAACTCGACCAAAAATATGTAATGTACAGGTTTCAAATGATTTAGGCCTAACACTTTTTTTCCTGTGTGAGTAACTAAGGACTTCTGGATAATTTAAATATGATATTTATATGTTTCTTACTCAGGAACAATGCCGTTCCGGGACACTATATAAATGGACGTTAACGTGATTATAAATTTGCATTTTACATAGTCAAAATACAATAGGTATTGCGCAACCGTGATATGTTAAGTCATTAACCTTGGTTCACTAATAAAAACTACACCGTATGCTTACTCAAACAAAACAAAACTTGCTTACTGTACAGCAATAAATCACGTAAAGAACAAAACAAAAGAAAATGTAGACTAGAAGACTACTGATACCGTAGTCATCCTAGGCTACTACTACATGATGTTTCAGAACAGAAGTATGGTTATAAAAATATTAAATAACTCATAAAACACCATAAAATCATAGTGCTGTACTTAAGTCTTTCTGGTAATAATAACAATGATAAAAATAAGATAAATATAACAATGATGTAAAACACCTCTTATTATTTCTCTTTGCTCTATTCTTTCTTTGGTTTCTCTCCATCCACAAGTTGTCATACTAATCACCCAACGACACAACCACAAAATATTGTAGTGTTGTGACAGCAGACAGGAGCAGACGATTGTCAGTATGTCAGTGTCAGTGCAAGATTGTCAGTCTGTAGGTGCGAGCGTATAGCTTGACCTTGACGCTACTGATCGATATTTCTCCGTTTTGCTTCCATCTTATTTTTGTCAACTGAACTGTAATATTTCAATAATTGGGAACCTACTGCACATAAAAATTACCGTAAATAGTTAAATATATCGTTCATATCGAAATATTAGACTGAAAAACACAGTTCATAAAACATTTTCTTGGGATTTGTGAGGTTATATAATATATAGGCATCATGATGATGCGACTCCAGTTAAGCGAGGTTCTACTGTATTTGCAAGTTAAAGTTACAAATAGAAAACCCATTATGGTTTGTATTCAATGACCGATGTATTATACAAAATAAATTATAACTTATTTTGATATTAATCAGAAGCATTTATTACAGCTTGCAGCACTTATTGGTAGGCCTATATATAAATATCCCAGTTACTATTACTTAAAAAAAAAATAAAACACGAAATTGTGTGGCCATTCAATTCTTATAAACACCGTGTTAAACATTTGACTCTGCAGAATACTGGATGAGAGAGAGAGAGAGAGAGAGAGAGAGATTTGATAAGGAATCTGAAAAGTAAACAAATAATCGTTTCTGGCGTTTTTTATATTGTACCCCCCTCCCCCCCACATTTGCACTCGTGACCACTTTTTGTTGCTTTCTTACCATTCATCCGTCCCAAAATAGAATTCCTGTAATAGTTTGTTTGTAAAATTAAAATTATTATAAAAATCTTTTATCTTTCGAGTGTAGTTTCATGGCTATTCTTATCAGATAGAATAATATCGTTGTCATATGTAATATAAATAGTTACTCCTTCGCGTTACGCAATTGCGTAAAAAAACAGTTCCCGTATCTCGGACAAGATTTCCGGTCCGTGGAAACACTGTAAATATTGTACTAGGATATAAAATATTGTATAAAGGAGAAGTTGACTAAAATTTCAACTGAAGGTAAAAAAAAAATAAAATAACTTAAAATATGAGATGATGAACGGGTAGGATCAAGATTCAACCAATTATAATTAATTAATATTCGACGATCCTTATTAGAGGTGCATCATATTTATTTGGAGTATGAACATGTTTAAACATTAACACGTAGTTAATCACTATCCCAACACAAATAGTAACAAGGAGTAAACGAAGGTTACAGACCGCTGGGTGTTACCGCTACAAAGTAGGGTAGGGTGCCGTACTTGGCTACACTACTCCACGATAGAACACACGATGAGACAGTCTCCGCATTGGTATTGCAGTTACGCTTATCGACACAGGCAGCAGCACCGGTTTGCTGTTTTCATACGTATAAAGTGCACGGGAAGCCATACCTGACTGGCTTATGGGAGAGCTGACTGGCTTTCGGGCGGGTGACTGCCACACCGAGTAAATTACCAGCGCACTGACTGCCAAACCGGGTGGGCACAAAAGTATATATATATATAAATCTATATATATATATATACATATATAAAAAATTTAACGAATGGTGTTTTTGGCCTCTGGGGACATCAAAATAAAAAAGTCAATTGGTCCCGGATCTAGGTCTTACCATGCCACCTACGGTAATAGCTTACTTCCCTATAGGGAAATTCACTAAAATAACAATATATATTCTTTTACGAGGATTTTTTGTGTTTGATTTTAGTGACACATGTTTAACATAGCGTTGTACTTTCAAAATAGCTAACCTGATAATTTTGTTTTGAATCTAATTTAAAATGTGCATAATAGTATTGCAAACAAATCAAATCACTTGAAAGTTGAATAGATACTTTGGTTACCTATAGGTGAGCAACATTGACTCCACAGTGAGGGTACGGGATTTGAAGAATGCTCTCATAGAGAAGGGTGTGAAGCCTCATGATATCACCTGGAAAGGACATAGAGGTGTTGCCTATCTTCATTTTGCCAAGGTACTAATAGTCTCAATAATAGTTAAATAGCCCTCAATGTATTCTAAATATAATTTTATTCTTATATAGGAACCAAGCTTTTAATGGATAATATGTAATTAATTGAGTGGTTCAGTAAAATATATGTTGTGTTTCTAATATCAAGGCCATTTATAATTTCTTCTAAATAGTCTGGTAATTTTCTATAAAATCAATGTTCTGTTTGTGTAATTGATTATTGGAAAGATTTACCTTTTATCCATAACCTAATGGGTAATTCCAATCAAGGTTTTCCGCCCGAACATAAATAAGGTTTTCATATAAATCTAACAAAACACCAAAGTTAAATGGGGTAGCGGATTTTTATCCCCTTGGAATTTTACCCCCTGGGCAAACGTGACGTCACAAACCAGGGGGTAAAATTCCGGCCGCGAACTTTTGAGTTTCGCGACATCAGCTCGATGGATTAAACGCGGAATTAAACGTATATTTTCACGGTTGTGAATTTAATCAGAACACATCAAATTATAAAAACCTAGAGTGTACGGCCCGGATTTTTACCCCCGAAATTTTACCCCCGGAATTCTACCCCCCAGATTTTTACCCCCGGAATTTTACCCCCTGGTCAGATATATAAATTAGTGAGAATGATTAATTATCTTCATTCTGTTTTAATTTAATAGTAAACATTTTATTATTAAGTAGCCTATATTAATTTATTTGTAACATTAACTAATCGAACAGGTTTTTAATTTTAATTTTGAGATTCTAGTATTAGGATTCGATCTTTGAAGCCAACAGTTGGTTAATATGACGTATAAAAAATCAACTGAATGATAATTGTTTCGAACATTTCTTTACAAAAAAATAAATAAAGATAGGCTATTAAATCATGAAATGTTTACAATTAATTAAAAACAGAAATAAGAAAATCAATCATTTAATTTCTAAAATCGGTCAGGGGTAAAATTCCGGGGGGTAAAAATACGGGGGTAAAATTCTGTTTTTTTTTTTCGCTAATCTAATTAATCACGCTCTGGCTATTTTCATTAGACTTCAAACCCGTGGGGGTAAAATTTCGGCCGCTAACAAGGTTAATATGACGTATAAACAATCAACTGAATGATAATTGTTTTGAACATTTCTTTACAAAAAAATAAATAAAGATAGGCTATTAAATAATGAAATGTTTACAATTAATTAAAAACAGAAATAAGAAAATCAATCATTAAATTCTAAAATCGGCCAGGGGTAAAATTCCGGGGGGTAAAAATCCAGGGGTAAAAATACGGGGGTAAAATTCAGTTTTTTTTTTCGCTAATCTAATTAATCACGCTCTGGCTATTTTCATTAGACTTCTAAATCCGCGGGGGTAAAATTCCGGCCGCTAACAAACTTTTGGCCACTCAGGTTACTACGTCATAGTGACGTCAGCTTTGCCCAGGGAGTAAAATTCCAGGGGGATAAAATTCCGGCGACCCAGTTAAATTAATAGCAGCAGTGAATTTTTAAATTAAAAACAAGAACTGCATACTCATTGAATTTAGATATAGAAATGTTATTCATTAGCCAGACAGTTAGTTGTCAGTACAGAGATCAATAGACAAAGAAGAATATTGTTTCATCTCTTAAATAATTCTATGCACCTTACTGTTTAGCACACATCTTACAGGATCACAGGCTCCTTGATGTAAGAATTCCTTGAGATTGAGAGTTGAACTGATGTGATATTATGCCTAAAATGGCAACCATAGTAACTTAGATTTTCAACAAGCAGAATATTTCATTTACTCACCATTAAAACTAGACTCATAAAAAATAAATTTATTTGAAATCATCCATTTACAATGAATGAATAAAACAATGTTCTGTCCATATACCAGCAGTCGCTGTGATATGAACAGTATTTTCAGCTAGACAGGTTGGCAACGTCAGTTTCCAATGCACCAGCCAATTTTTTTTTTTTCATGAAGTTGGCTTATTCTTGTAACATGCATGGATACCTGTATGTGAATTGAAGGGTTAGGTTGGGCATATGCTGAGAAGTAGGCGACATACCACACTCAGCACAACACACAGCAGAAAACTGCCCCGTTATCCTCACGGAGGCGCGCAAGCTGAGGCACTGGCGAGTATGTTTGTGGCACACACTTGGGCCGGCATATCAGTTTGTAGCAAAGATTTTACGCCTCAGGTGCAAGATGGTAACAAACGAGCGTCTAATTGAGTTGGTGCCAGAACTGTCTGTGCCTTATATGTTAACCACAATCATACAAAACTTGTTTTCCCATCTTTTGTGTTCATTCTTAGCTACTAGCAATCCGTTAAAAAATATGTTAAGCGTACTGTCATTTAATTAGGAAAGGAATTAAAGTTCCATATCAGACTTAGAGGAGTCACTATTGTTGTCAATCTTGGCGACTGCTTAGTCTGCTTGTCTTGTTCCTTGCATGCATTGTGTCAACTGTGTCAAAAGTCAAAGTCAAAGTATTTATTTGCACATAACATTTATGGGTTACAGCAGGTAACATCAAACTGGTGCATCGTCATTACATTTCTAAAAACAAACAATACAACTAACTATGACACAAATAAACATATCTAGCTGCTTTACATGGTTCGGTAATTTATTGTACATTCTTTTACCCAGCTCAAAAGTTGAATTAATTGTCCTTTGATAGTTACATTGGTCAGTTCTTAAATAATTTTTTTGCCTAGTAAAGTAGTTATGAACAGAGCTATTAGTTTGAAACTGTTTTAAATTAGTTCTAATGTACATTAAGCAATCCAATATAAACAAAGAGGGAACAGTCATTACTTTAAGTTTCTTAAAAAGTGGTTTGCAATGGGTCCTACGATTAACATTGATGTCTCAGCATACGTCCAGCGTTACTGTGAAAAGATAGTTGTTATACTAATATATTAACATTAAGCTTTTGTTAGTTGAAGACCCAGCCAGAAAATCCACCAGGAGTAGATGACGTCATTGCTTCTTTGCAAGGATTGAAAGTCAAGTGCAGATCTGAGGAACAGGAAGAGGCCAAGGAATCACTATTGTCTTTTGAAGTTGCTCAAACGAGCTCAAGAGTTGAAGATGCAGGAATCACTTCTGTTTAAGTTTTCTTCAAGACTGTTCTAGTATTCATCCAAAAAGGTTTTTTTTTGATACTCAGGTTTTAGTATCACTGGAAAAATGTTTTTGTTTGTTATGCTTTTTGTTATCTTATGTTTTTTTTATGTTTATATAAACAGTCTGATGATTGTATTTTTTAGTAGTCATATTTTATGATCAATGATGATGAAGCATACTAATTATGTTCAAGTATTTTAAGTGCATTGTTTCAACTTAAAACACTAGTCATTTACCAAAGATAGTCTTTTTTAGGATTCTAATATCTTAAAACTATATCTCAATATAATAATTACTGTTTTATTATGATACTTTTCTTACACCATGGAAACTTTTATAAAATCGATACATTCATAAGAATGTCAATAAGGCATCGTTAAGTTACATTGTTTACTTTTCTTATTACAAATCACCTTATAGGGATGATCTCTTAAGTCAATCTTAAGATGGTCTCTTAAGTCTCCTAGTCAATGTGGTGGGTAATACCCACCACACCTAGTCCTTGGCACCTTGGCTGAAAACTTTTGGACCTGAAAAAAACCTTGACTGAATTGTTACAAAGTTTACAGTACCTGTTTTTGAAGTACAAATTTTAGTTTTACTGCCAGTTATCTATTCTTACAGAAGTATTTTACAGGTTTTTGTTCTATAACTTGTCAAAATATTTAAGACAGCTGCATGACAATGAAGTTTAGTATTTTTATAATGGTTTTGTTATTTGTAATAAAAAAAAAAATTTTACATGTGGTTTTTTTGTTCAATATTGGTTTACGTAATGTTCTTCACTCATTTATTTAAGAGATATGATGTATTTTAAAATGTAACAACCAAGACCTACATGCTTCTTCTCAAAGTAAGCAAGCTGTACCCTTAAAAAATCATTGCATTTAAAAGTCAAAGCGTTTAAGTTTAGACTCATCAGTTAAAATTTATTGTGTGCATGTGCATGCATGGAGCTAGAACCCCTAAAATTCCGGGGAAATGACTAATCATTGACTTTGAATTAATTGTTTAAACTTTAATAGGTACCGGTTAGGTATTAGTCCAGTAAATATGTAAAAAAAAAATACGGGGTCGCTGTGCAAAAGGCCAGGTAGTTTTGATTTTTGGATATGTTGTTAGTGATGGGTCCACCCTCGAGGTGCCACTTGTTAACGAAATACCAAAAATGTGACCATTCCTATGGGTTTTCTCTCTATCTCGCTAACGGTTGGTTTTACTGAAAATATTACTTTATTAAATCAAAGGAGGATAAATTTGTGACAGTTTAAGCACAACACCACCGTATATAATAGCCGAAATACAGACCTTCAAAATAAAATGAACTAAAATCAATTTAGTCCAAGAAAAACTAAAAAAAAAACAGACACAGGGATGGTAAAATAATGCAAGAAAACATGTTATGGTTTATTTTGTAGTGTTGGGTGTGCAGAGTTACATACTAAAAGTTGGCCAAAATCGGTCCATGGAACCCCCTAAAATCATGATAAAAAATGGCGGCTTTCCCCAACATAGGGCAAATTTTGAAAAAAGGTTTCCACGTGAATTTGTTATGCACATCTTTTGAGAAATTTACTTGGGACCACCGCTGATATTTATTGGGTGGTTAGTACTTTTCACTTGGGAACACGTTTTCAGCCACCATTATGGTTATCTCTTCTCAGGTTTGGGTCAGTACTTCAGGGGATATAAACGGTTCCATTTGATGTGACATGTTATAGGTGGTTATAGGAGTATTTTTTCCCATTGTTCTGAATCACCTCCGACAGAGAATAGCATGTGCTGGTGCAACATCCCCTGAAATACTGACCAATCTGGGAGGAGGGAAAATTTTGCTTAGATTTATGACAGGCCACTAATGGTACTCATATCGAGTTATACTAAGTTTCTAATAAAACTTAAGCTTTAAATACATATTTAAAACATATAACATAGTCTCTTATTTGGTATCAGCATTTGCCTTTAAAATGTTTCAGTTTTTTTTCGGACACCCGGTATTGTGGCAATATTCCAAATCATGATTAATACAGAATGTTGTGATTATTCAAACCAACAGTTGGTGAAAGTAAACATCTGCTTTTAAATTATATTTATTTGTAAACATTGTAGTTCCAAAAGTCTGACATTGGACCCCATAAAACCCTCTGGGGCGGAGCCCTTTTGACGGATCTGCTCCAAACTTCACACAACCATCCTTCAATAATGCCTGAAAACTTCATTACAATCTGTCGAGCGGTTTTGGAGTCCATAAGGTACGTACATACATACATAGTTCCTCTTTTAGAATTTCCCTATAGGGAAGTAACGGGTGACTGCCGGGAACCGGACGAATTTGCAACAGCTGTTACATTGTTGCTACACGTGCTAGGGAGATTGAGGTTATGTCATTGTTTTGAGTCAGCATTACCATTTTAGTCACGATGGATCAGTGGTCAGTTCAGCATCGTGTTTTTGCATATGACACATTTATTAAAAATGGCGAATCCGTTATCAAAACACAGCGTATCTTCCGGCGCCACTTTAATATTGCGCGAAATGAAACGGTTCCAAGCCGGAATACATTGCTAAGATGGGTGCACAAGTTAAGAACAACAGGAACAGTATCAAAGAAAAAGCCACCCGGTCCAGCAAGAACAGTGAGAACACCAGACAACATCGCCACAGTGAGAACTGCTTTGATGAGGAGTCCGGGTCGCTCTGCACGAAGACACGCACAAGAGCTACGCATGAAGCGTGATTCTGTCAGAATAATTTTAAAATCAGATTTGAAATTTCATCCCTACAAAATACAGGTGGTACAGCAACTGAAAGAGAGGCACTATGGACAAAGAGAAGATTTCGCAGTACGTATGCAGGTGTTGTTTACTGATAATCCTGATGTAATGATGTTAGTGAGCGACGAAGCTCACTTCCACTTTAACAGTTCAGTGAACAAACAAAACTTACAATATTGGGCTCCTGAAAATCCATGTAACTTTCATGAAAAACCACTCCACTCTCCAAAAGTAACGGTTTGGTGTGCTGTAGGCCACTTTTTTGATAATTGGTCCGTATTTTTTTTGAGGAAAATGGAGTCACAGTGACAGTGAATTCTGCACGCTATGTTCACATGTTGGAACATATCTCAAGCCACAACTTCGGAGGCAAGGAATAAACGTGAAAAATGTTTACTTCCAACAAGATGGGGCCACAGCGCATACTGCCGCTGCATCGATGCGAGTTGTGAAGAAGATGTTCCCTGGCAAGTTGATTTCACGTTTTGGTGACGTGCCGTGGCCGCCGAGTCACCAGATTTGTCGCCCTGTGACTATTTCTTATGGGGGTATTTGAAAGCACGTGTCTATGTTCACAAACCACGAACATTATTGCAGCTAAAAGATGCAATCACCGAAGAGGTGAATTTCATTGGACAAGACATGGTTGATGAGAGTGCGTAATGATTTTCTCCAGAGGTTGGAAACCTGTATCCAGGTTAACGGCCATCACATGCATGATATCATCTTTAAGAAATAAACCCAAACTAGGATAAAAGGTTCCATAAAACATATGTTTTTTGAAATGGTTTGTTTTCACCAATATATATTCAACAATTAAATAATTTTACTATATAAAATAAGGTTGTACTATTCATTTAAAAAACGTCCGGTTCCCGGCAGTCACCCTTTAGCTATTACCGTAGGTGGCACAGTAAGACCTAGGCTCGGGACCGATTTAGCATTTTGATGTCCCCAGAGGCCAAAAACACCATTCGTTCAAATTTGTATATAAGTATATATACAGGGTGTAAATTAAGTCTGGCACACATTTTTTATCTTTTTTTCTATAGTAGATAGAAGAAATCAATTTGCGGGAATGATTAATAACAAATGTTAGGCACTTTTTAAAAATTTTGAAAATAAAAATTCCCTTAAGGGCAAGGGGGGGTGGGGGGTAACTAAAAATTTTCAAATGACAACCCCCATCTTGTGACCCCTCATTTTAAAGGTCATTGGAAGACAAATCCAAAGATGTGTCTAAAAAAATTTTTTTTGCACCCTATCCAAGATGGCGGTTTAAAATGTACTTAGGGTTGAATGGGTAAATTAGGTATGGCACACATTTCTTATCTTTTTTACTCTTTGTAGATAGAAGGAATTAATTTGCGGGACTGAGTAAGAACAAATGTTTGGCACTTTTTCATAATTTTGAAAAAAATATCCCCTTAAGGGTAAGGTGGGGGTGGGGGGTAACTAAAATTTTTCAAATGACAACCCTCATCTTGTGACCACTCATTTTCAAGGTATTTGGAAGACAAATTTAACGATGTGTCTGAAAAAAATTTTTTTGCATCCTGTCCAAGATGGCGGCTTTAAATGTGCTTGGGGTTAAACGGGTGGGGTCTGGTACACAATTTTATCTTTTTTGCCATTAATAGATAGAACTTATCCACTCGTGGGACTGAGCCAAAATTAGGCACCTTTTTAATTATTTGAAAAAATCCCCTAAGGGTAAGGGGGGGAGGGCAACTAACAATTTTCAAATGACAACACCCATCTTGTGACCTCTCATTTTAAAGGTATTTGAGAGACCAATTTAACAATGTGTCTAAAAATGTTTTTTAAGCACCCTATCCAATATGGCGGCTTAAAATGTGCTGAGGGTTGAACAAGTAAATTAAGTCTGGAAACACATTTTTTTTTACCAAAAATAAAGTTATAATAGATTTGATAGTTTATATCAGAAAAACTTGGACAATAGGACGAACTGCAATTAACAAACTTATGTAGCTCTTATCACTTAGTAAATAAATCTGATAATTGAGATTCCAGGTTTGGACGTTGCACTCACTTGGAATTCCTATCCTCTTTCTTAAGACTGCAGGCTAATCAGGTAACAATCTTATCAGTTTTTCCTTATTCCCCTTCAGTCTGTGTAGGTAGTTTCTTTGGAGTAGTCGTAAGTACATCTTTTATTATTTTTATTTTAACATGGCGTTGTTAACAACAAAACAGAAGATAGAAATACTTGTCATTGTTGGCTATGGAGATAAAAAACGGACTCAACTTGAAGCGTGTGATATTTTTAACAACTTGTACCCTGATCGCCAAATTAATCGAGCTACAGTATCTAAGATATGTAATAAGTTTGCTGAAACGGGGGATGTTGCAAGTAAACCAAGAAGTGGTAGGCCAAAATCTGTACTTACTGAAGAAACTAGACTGAATATACTTCTTAGCGTTGAAGAAAATCATCACACATCGACACGTAGGATTGGAAATGACTTTGGGATAAGTCACATGTCGGTCCACAAAGCCCTTAAAGCCGAGAAGTTTCATCCTTTTAAGGTTCAGTTAATTCATGAATTGAACGAGGACGATTTTGACCGCAGGATTGAATTCTGTGAACTCATGATGCAACGGTGTACTTTGGATCCAATGTTCAAAAATAGAATTGTATTTTCAGATGAGGCTTCATTTAGTCTTCATGGCCACGTGAACAGACAAAACTATAGGTATTGGTCTCCTGAAAATCCGCATTGGGCTCAAGAATGCCATACTCAAAATCCCCAAAAAGTCAATGTTTGGGCAGGCATTGTCGGGACCAAATTAATAGGGCCATTCGTGATCGAAGGAAATCTAAACGGAAACCGTGTAACGGGTATGATCAGATTTTTCTTATTTACTAGAATCAAAAATCAAAATACCTCTTAACTACATGAATGACTGATAGCGCGCTCTACTATGCGACTTAATTCAAAACT